GGCTGTTCCCATGGCTGTAAGCCTGTTCCCAGGCTGTTCCCAGGGCTGTATCCCTGTTCCCAGCCTGTTCCCAGGGCTGTATCCCTGTTCCCAGCCTGTTCCCAGGTTGTTCCCAGGGCTGTATCGCTGTTCCCAGGCTGTTCCCAGGCTGTTCCCAGGCTGTTCCCAGGGCTGTATCCCAGGGCTGTATCCCAGGGCTGTATCCCAGGTTGTTCCCAGGGTTGTAGCCCTGTTCCCAGGGCTGTTCCCAGGTTGTTCCCAGGGCTGTATCCCTGTTCCCAGCCTGTTCCCAGGTTGTTCCCAGGGCTGTATCGCTGTTCCCAGGCTGTTCCCAGGCTGTTCCCAGGGCTGTATCCCTGTTCCCAGGGCTGTGTCCCTGTTCCCAGGGCTGTGTCCCTGTTCCTATCCCCGTTCCCAGCTGTATCCCAGGGCTGTTCCCAGGGCTGTATCCCTGTTCCCAGGCTGTACCCCAGGCTGTTCCCAGGCTGTTCCCAGGGCTGTATCCCTGTTCCCAGGGCTGTGTCCCTGTTCCCAGGGCTGTTCCCATGGCTGTATCCCCGTTCCCAGGCTGTTCCCAGGGCTGTTCCCAGGGCTGCTCCCAGGGCTGTATCCCAGATTCTCACCGATGTGGGAGTCGATCTCCACGATCTTCTCGATGCTGCTGGGCTCCATGAGGGGGGAGGTGATCCTCTTCTCCACGGCCAGGCACACTCCCTCCGACGTCTGGATCCCAATGGCCGTGGAGCCCAACTGGAAAACACCCCCCAGGCTCCAAAGCTCCAACAGAAACTCCCAAATCTGCCTTATTTGGGGCTGGGATTTCCTGGGATTCATCCTGTCACACACCCCCCCCCGGACAAACCCGCTCGGGGTTTCCAAGGTTATTCCCTGAACTGGGAAGTGGGGAAGGTGGAATCCACGGCATTCCCAGCTGGCTGGGCCAGCAGATCCCTCACCTCCCGGGCAACAGCAGCTGGAGAGGCCTGAGGAGTGGGAAAGGCCCTGGGAATCCCCCTCTGCCAGAGGGAAGGAAGTTTAAAGGGAGAGAGGATTTCCCAGATGGGCCCAAATCCCAAATCCCAAATCCCAGCCCGAAACCTGGGCACTTTGCTTTCCAAGAGTTCCTGCTCTGCCCAGTGTCCCGGGAGCTCCAGGACACCCCAGGGTCACTGCGGTGTCCCCACAGGCACAGGGAACATCCCAGGAGTTCCTGGAAACCTCTGCTTGGATCCCATCAGCCCCTGCCTTGATCCCACCTTGATCCCATCAGCCCCTGCCTTGATCCCACCTTTATCCCACCAATCCCTGCCTGGATCTGACTTGATCCTACCTTGATCCTAATAATCCTTCCCTTGATCTCACCAACCCCTACCTTGATCTCACCTTGGTCCCACCAGCCCCTACTTTAAAGCCCACCCTGATCCCACCTTAATCCCACCAGTCCCTGCCTGGATCCAACCTGGATCCCACCAACTCTAACCTTGAGCCCATCAATCCTCATCTTGATCCCACCCTGATCCCACTGTGATCCTACCAAGGCTTACCTGGATCCCACCAGCCCCTGACCTTGATCCCATCAGTGCCTGCCTTGATCCCACCTATCCCTGTCTTGATCCCATACTGATCCCATGTTGATCCCAAGAATCCTTACCTTGATCCCATATTGATCCCACAAATCCTTACCTTGATCCCATATTGATCCCACCACTCCTTACCTTGATCCCATGTTGATCCCACCACTCCTTACCTTGATCCCATGTTGATCCCACCACTCCTTACCTTGATCCCATGTTGATCCCACCAATCCTTACCTTGATCCCACCAATCCTTACCTTGATCCCACCACTCCTTACCTTGATCCCACCAATCCTTACCTTGATCCCATGTTGATCCCACCAGCCCCTTTGATGATCCCCCCTCGATCCCATGAACAACCACCCTGATCCCCCATCCCAGGAACTTTAATTCCAAATTCCTTGCAGATTTTATCACTTCCATCACCTTTCCCCCCCCTTTTTTCCCCCATTATCCCTTTATCCCTCATTTTAGTGCTCGCAGGAACTGAAGGCAGGACCCTCCTCTTCCCCAACCCAAACCCCCCAGGGCTCCTTCCCTTCATCCCTCAACCAGTTTATCCCAAATTTAACCTTATTCCCAATCCTATAAATACCACATAATAAACAGGAACATTTTCCAATTAAGGACATTTAACCCCAAAAGGCCCCTTGGGGCTTCCTGCTCTTAAATCCAAGCTTTTAGGGTTGATCTAAGGAGAAACATCTTGGGACTGGGGTTGGTTTGGGGACATGGGAAGGGACCATCCCCCTGAACTGGGGGGAAAACGCTGGGATTTGGTCCTTCGTGACCCTTAGGAGAGCAGAGGGTGGGAAGTTTGGGAGGGAACAGCCCCGGGATTTGTCCCAACCGACCCAGTTTGGGGTTTGGAGGAGCCCCAGGAGCCCCAAAAGCTTGGAAAGGGGGTGGAGGTGACAGTACCTTTATGGCCTCAATGGCATATTCCACCTGGAAGAGCCTCCCCTCAGGAGAGAAGGTGTTCACACCCCTGCAGGGACAACAGGGACACTCAGGGGAGCAGGAAAACCAGGAATGGGGGCCCTGGAGCCACCTGGGACCCTCCTGGGGACTGGACTTGGGATAGTCCTGGACACAGGGAACAGGGAGCGTCACAGAACACGTCCCATTCCAGGCTGGGAGCCTCTGGAATCCCAGTGGTGCCCTGGGAGCCCCTGGAATTCTGGAGTCCCACATCCCCAGGTGCCACATCCAGGTGTTTTCTGGACAGCTCCAGGGATGGAGACTCCAAACCCCCCTGGGCATCCCCTCCCAGGGCCAGACCACCTTTTCCACGCAGGAATTCCCCCAGTATCCAACCTGACCCTGCCAGGAGAGGTTTGTTTTCCCCTGAGAAATCCTTGAGGCTGGAAAAGCCCTCTGGGATCATCGAGTCCAACCACCCCCAGCCCTGCCAAGGCCACCCCTGCCCATGTCCCCAGGGGCCACATCCACAGGTTTTGAGGACACCTCCAGGGATGGGGGCTCCAGACCCCCCTGGGCAGCCCCTTCCCGTGCTTTACAGCCCTTTCCAGGCAGGAATTTCCCCAACATCCAACCTGACCATCCCTGGCTCAGCCTGAGGCCGTTCCCTCTCCTCCTGTCCCTTGTTCCCTGGGAGCAGAGCCCGACCCCAACCTGCTCCCCCCTCCTGTCAGGGGGTTGCAGAGCCAGAAGGTCCCCCCTGAGCCTCCTTTTCTCCAGGCTGAGCCCCCCCAGCTCCCTCACTTCTCCTGCTGCTCCAGCCCCTTCCCCAGCTCCCTCAGTTCTCCCGGTGCTCCCGCCCCTTCCCCAGACCCCCCCATCCCACCCTCACACTCCCCGTCGGGGCTCCCGCCACCCGCGGTGCGACCCCGGCCCGGGAGGCCCCGCT